GATAATGAAAATTCAGTGGAAGTTAAATCCACCAACCGCAGCATGGTGGGGCGGCTGGTGGGAGAGACTGGTTCAGATGATCAAGAAATTATTGAGAAGAGTCCTCGGAAAAGCATTACTTTCATATAAAGAAATGTTAACTATCCTATGTGATGCAGAAGCAAATATCAACTCCAGACCATTAACATACGAGTCAGAAGATTCCACCGATTTATGTGCACTCACTCCATCTATGTTTATTCAGGATGGGCGAACTGAAGGTGTCCGGATCTGGACAGTTTGGATAAAATCAACTTATCGAAAAGATGGCGATACCACCAAAAGTTACGTGTGGAATTTCGTAAAAGTTTTAAAGATGAATATCTTGGTATGTTAGTACATCGACCAAAGACTGGACCTTCGCGAACCATCAAGAAAGGTGATTTAGTGTTTTTAGAGGACGATAAAAGGAAAAGAACAGACTGGCCTATGGGTCGTGTGATCTAAGTATACCCAGGAAAAGACAACAACATCAGAGTGGTGAAAGTAAAAACATCTACTGTTAAGACCAGTTCAAAGAGTATTTCCAATGGAGATAGACAATAAAGAATCTATCTTCGAGCTTAAAACTACTGAATCATCCACATCTCCTAGAAATACTGGTAAAATGAATGATTTAGTAATTGATACCAAAAACTGTGAACTTGAAAATTCGGATAAAAACATTCAGTTTAGTAGATATGGCAGAAAAATTGTGAAACCAAAGAACTTAATTAGTTTAATTTTGTTTTCGTACCACTAATATTTTTTTCTTTATTTCTTTCTTTGAATTTAAATTTTGTATACAATTTGATTTTCCATTTTAGTGAATTTATCTCTTTACTAGTATTTTCAGAAAAGAATTTTTTGCCTGTTCTTTAAAGTTTGAAGAATAAAGTAAGTTTAAAATATTCAAGATATTTGTTACGCCTAGATAAAATTGTTGATTTTGGTAAGATTAATTACTCATCTTATATTCGTATTTCAATTTTCATTTTACAATTGTTTTGATTTTTTCATACTTTGTCAAAAATCAAAAAGGTGGGAGAAATGTTACAACTCGAACGCGAAATGAGCGAAAGTTTCTCTTGAGCCATTGGCAACGGGGAGTCGAAAAACGAACTTGGAAGAGAGCGGTCGCTCACTCTGTTTCTCTTGATAGAATTTGACACGAAGGGGGTATAATCCCCATCTTTTGATTTGAAATTAATCTCGAATTATGTATATATTGTAATATAAAAGATGTGTGTAAATAAAAGTCATTAAGATTTAATTGAAGTAGTGATTTGAATCGAATATAGAAATCGAAAGCTCTCCCAAATAGAACTATGGATATAGAAATGACACAGGCAATTTTCATTAGCTGTTCCTAAAATAATGCCAGATATCTACATGGATGACATTTTAGCAGTAACTGAGTCATTAAAGGAGGCTTAAGAAGTAACGTATCAATTAAATGAAATTTTACAAAAAAGAGGCATGAGTCTTTCTAAGTTTTGTAGCAATAATACTGCGCTTAACAATTTCAAATTACACATTTTTAAAACCTGACGAGACCAAAACATTAGGAATACTAAGGAAGATTATTTTTCACTTAAAGTGAAACCTGAGGATGTAATTGTGCACAATAGGGAACTGTATTGTCAACGATAGTGCATTTATTTGACCCATTGGGTTTACTAGGTCCTATCATATCAAAAGCAAAGATATTTAGGCAAACGTTATGACTACTGAAGATAGACTGGAATGACGTTTTACTAGAAGAAACTCAAAAGGAGTGGCAAAGATTTATAAAGTCTTTATACACAATAAATAGCATGAAGACTGAGAGATGCATCATAATAGAAGATAACAATTGAGTTGCACGGATTCGCCGACAGCTCTGATTTGGCTTATGGGGCAGTAATATATGCCAAATCAGTCAGTGCCAAAGGAGAAATGAAGATAAAGATGATTGCCAGAAAATCCAGGGTTACATCCATAAAGAAAGTCACTGTGCCACGTCCTGAGTTATGTGCAGCGGATTTAGTGGATCTTCTAACTTAACTAACTTCTTCATTAATAATTTTTCTGTTGTTGCGAATTATCTCACTTGTTGGACAGTAATATCAGAACACGCCCACGAATTTTATCGTGGCAAGGAGAGCAAGACTGCGTCTGCCGTTGGCAAGAGGCCTGAGCACCAGACAGGTGATAGTAAGACTTTGCTCAGTTCTGCCCCCAATTTTGATAGAGAGTGCCCAGGAGGGAACAGGTCCGAGAGTCTTCCTACCCTCTTCCCCTACGTCTATCCTCTCAAGAGGTCCTCCGACTCGCCGCTTATTTAGAGTGACCCCAATGCCGCACAGACAATTTACATTTACAAACATCCATGCCCTCTGCGGCATTCGAACTCGGCCCCTTCAGTACGGCAGTCAGCGTCTTTAGCCACTGTCGCGCCTATCATTGGCAAGAGTCTTCAGCCCCATTACAGGTGATAGTATGACTTCGCTTAGCTCCGTCCCAATTTTGATAGAGAGCTTCCTTGTGGGGACGGGTCCGAGGGTGTTCCACCCCTCTTTTCCTACCATCAACCTCTCGAGAGGAATTTCAACTCGCCATATATTTACGTAGTAGGGTTTATATTTATTTTAACTAACATTTATTTTAAGTTCAAGCTATCTTTCCTGTCAAGCCTTTACTTTCCCCTAGAATTGCCAATGCTAGAGTATGTAAATTGTAGTAGAGCGCGCAGTATATTCAAATTTAGCAGAAGCAAGTTGAGTTAAATAGAAGGGAAACGAGTTTGTAAGTGTGCTTCTTGAATCGCGAACGTGAAGGTTGCTAGGTAGAAATTTAAGAACCGCGCGTTTCGGCCTGTGTGCCTATCTCGGCAGTTTTTGCTGAATCCTTCAACTGCTTAATCAGTAAGCTCGCTGAATCTCAGCTGTATTTTAGAACGCGGTTAGGTTAGTTAAGATTTCAGAGCCTCGTGGATAGTGATCTAGCCATTTATTCATCCAGCCATTATTTTTTCAGTTGTACATTCTGTTTCTGTTAAACCGCCGGGTCGGCGTAGTTTTTGAGCGTCAAGTGGACGCAGCTGTTATTTTTAAAGTGGAATAAAAAGGGCTTTAAACCCTTCTTACGTGTTTGTGTAAATTTTCAGTTCATAGCAGTCACTACCACAGTTGCTGACAAGTTGGGGCCACACCATACTACAAATATCCCCATACCACCAAATGTTATCGCTATGTATCGCGAAGGCACCATACATTTACAAACATCCGTGCTTTTTTCGTTATTCGAACCCGGACCCTTGGGTACCGCAGTAGGCACCCCTAACCACTATACCGTCAGGGCAGCTAAAACATGAGTAGTATTTATAATTAAGACAACCATAAAGTTTATAAATATATCGCATTTTATTTACAATCTATCAACCGTATGTGATTATTTGCTTAAAGTCCGTTGTTATTTCATATCTTAACATGGAGCTGGCGAGAGTGGTTACAGCCGAAAACATCGCGGCAAAAACATCGCGGATGAAAACGTCGCGGAGAAAACGGCATGCTACAAAACATCGTGGGAGAAAACATCGCAAAGAGAAAACATCGCATTTCTAAAACATCGTGGTACAAAACATCGTCGTCGAAAATAAAGCGGTTCAAAAACTTCGCAGTTTAAAAACATCGCCGTCGAAAATATCGTGGTAAAAAATAAAGTATCTACAAATCATCGCATGACGGTAACATCGCAGACATGCTTTTTTCAGGCTTTAATAACTGTAAATGGATATTCCCATAATGATTTGTGAGCGCAAGTGATGTAAGGAAGGATAATTTTTACTTTCACATTTTTTTTATTAACTAATAAATTTTTTGCTGAAAAAATAAGAAGGAAACTTAAGCATAGAAAATTAAATGCAACTTAATAGATTATACTTTTTATGAAAAATTACCTGTAAAATCTTTATAAAAAATTATTTATTAATGGTCTTTGTTAGTTAACTATGTCGATTTAAAATTCTATTAAGTGCTATAAGTTGCATTAATTTTCTATGCTTAAGTTTTCTTCTTATTTTCTCAGCAAAAATTTAATATTTAATAAAAAATATGAAAGTAAAAATTATCCTTCTTTACATCTTGCGCTCACAAATCATTATGGGAATATCCATTTACAGTTATTAAAGCCTGAAAAAAGCATGTCTGCGATGTTACCGTCATGCGATGATTTGTAGATACTTTATTTTACCACGATATTTTCGACGACGATGTTTAAACTGCGAAGTTTTTAAACCGCTTTATTTTCGACGACGATGTTCTGTACCACGATGTTTTAGAACTGCGATGTTTTCTCTTTGCGATGTGTTCTCCTACGGTATTTTGTAGCACGACGTTTTCGCTTTGCGTTGTTTTCTCCGCGACGTTTTTGTCCGCAATGTTTTTGCCGCGATGTTATCGGCGGACACCGGCGAGAGTTCATGTGCTGCCCACATCAAATGTTTTGATATGCAATAAGATTCGCATGACAATGACTCGTTTTCAATACTACTGTAACTAAAACTTTTACTGTCGATGTTGCGAAGCACGCTCTATCAGGGAAATTTTGAACTGCATACTCGTCTTCTAAAATATGTCCAACTTCTTTTGATTCATTTATGTAAATCTTTTTCATTTCTTCGAATTTTATAACGCAGATTTTTAAATATTAAAGAACTTTTCGGGCATCCTACAATTCTCTTAATTCTTTGACTTTACTAGGCGTCACTATTGTAGACTATGTTACACAGATTATGTATATAACAACATTTTTGTTTTCCTATACAAAACAGAAATAAAATATCTAGTTTCACCAAGTATATCAGTCAAGTAATCAAACTGTTATACATTTATTTTCAGTCCGAATATCAATTATAATAAATTAAATGAAGGTATTAATTTAATTAGATTTAACAATAAATTATAATTTAATTAATTTTATAAAAAGAGATCAATTACTACCAGAAGTATTTAAGTTTTCCTTGACATACATCAGAGCCTTTTTTACGCTGTCATCATTCGTGACATCAAGTTCCAACACGTGCAGCCTTTTGGAACAGCTGTTCTGCAGTTCTATAGCACCTTCTCCCATCGGAAACAGACAACAGGCGAACACAAGAAATCCTCTTGAATCTAGTCGTTTAGCTAAATAGTGACCAAAACCGCTATCACATCCTGAAATCAAAGTTTGCGTTTGTAAGCAAAGGTGTAGTAATTATACGTTATAACCAAAGCAGTACAATATATGCTCTTAAATGCATAACAAAAAGCGTATGGTAGTCATTTCTATTTCCAATAATTTTTGATTAAATGATTTCTTGCAAATAGTATAACTGGCAGTTCCCCCTTCATGTTCTTTCCCATTCTTTTAAATACGCATTTTTAACTATGTGTTATTGTCAATGTTTTAAACATGGCTTATTGTCAATGTTTTAATTATGTTTTATTGTCTATCATGTTAATCACTATGTTAATTTTAGGTGGAAAATCGTAATGAAAATTTATCACTTTTTAATGCGCCAGTGAGAATTAAAATGACGTAGGAATTATGAATTTTCTGCTTTTTACCATTTACCTTTGTTGTATAATTGGAAACACACGTTTGGGTAGTATCGTATGGTCCGAATTTCGGCTTCCGGGGAGGTCAGCAGTGATTCTTCATGTTTCTAAGTCCTAAAAAATAATTCTAAATGATTCTAAGTGGCACTGAACTAAACGTGGTGTATTATAACAACGCAAGGCGAAACCTTCGTGGAACAAAACATCGTGGGAGAACAAAAAGCAAAAAGAAATGTATCATGCTACAAAATATCGTGATTGAAAATAAAGCGATTCAAGAACTTCGCAGTTTAAAAACATCATCGTCAATAATATCGTGGTAAAAAATAAAGTACCTACAAATTATCGCATGACGATGACATGCACACATGCGTTTTCAGGTTTTGAAAGTTGTAAATTCATGTTCGTATAAAGATTTTAGAGCGCAAGAAGAAAAGAGGGATTCTTTTTTCTATATTTCATATTTTAGAACGAACTAATAATTTTTTACTGAAAAAAATAAGAAGGAAACTTTAAAAAATTACATTTAAAAATTGAAAATGGGTAGAAAATAATGCAACTTGACTAAATTTTAAATTTATGTAGTTAAATAACAAACGTCATTAATAACTTAACCTTTTTTTTATAAAGTTTAACTGATAATTTTATATGCAAAATACAGTCTAAAATGCTTAGAAAAAGGAAGATAAATAACTGCATGAAGTTACCTCTGTAAAAATTTCTTAGTTAATATTATTTTCTTTCACATTTGTTTATCTGATATTGTTTTAGTGAGAATTATATACTGCTTTGTTTACGTTTATTCTTAAAGTGTCGTTAACATTTTCACGTATAACGTGCAGTCAATTTTATGGATGTTGATTTGTTAGTTATGTAGGAAGTCAGTTACTTGATATATATGCGATTTGGAAAACGCATGTGTGAGATGTTATCGTCATGCCATGATTTGTAGGTACTTTATTTTTTACCACGATATTTTCGACGACGATGTTTTTAAACTGGGAAGTTTTTGAACGGCTTTATTTTCGACCATGATATTTTATACCACGACGTTTTCGCCTTGCGTTATTTACTCCGCTACGTTTTCTTCCGCCATGTTTATGCTGCGATATTTTCGACTGTAACCGTAGAAATGCTCTTTTGAGGAAGTTCTAGAAATAAATAATTGCCTTGCCAGCCCACCTTAGGCCGAAACTGAGGTAGTTCGAGCTCATATTGGAATCACTAGACATCAAAATGATGATATGAACTCAAAACGAGCAGCCGACGAGTTTCATGAAACACATTAAATGTGCCACTTCTAGGGCTCGGAGTTAAAGGCCATACTCAGTAAAAATCTTGTCAAAGAGTAGGAACACTGAGATGCTGAAACAACAAGATGAAGGGGGCATAAATTCTTCCCTAAAATCGGAAAATAGCTAACCATTGGTTCATCGCTCTTTTCAAAGTTTTAACTCTTCATGGCCAATTTATGAGCCCCCTGCAACGTTTCAGTCTTCGCGATGAAGACCAGTATGCTTGTGAAATGGTCCGAGATCTCGACCACTATCTCTTCAGTTGCGCAAATACCGCTAACTACCATCTCTGCAAATCTGCAGATGTAAATTTAAGAGAATGGGTAGATAGTACCTTTATGAATCTTCTTGCTCTTAAACGCATATGAAAATGTGGATGTGCAGCCAATTCCATAGCCAACATTTTGGATTAAAAGACTTCTTGCAAACAGTATAACTGGTAGTACCACTTTCATGATTTTTCCACTCTCTTATATCTGCAGTCTTAACTATGACTTATTGCCAATTCATTAATAGTAACTCCATTTACTGTGAAATACCTGTTCACTTTGTAAAATTATTTTGCATTATTTAATATGATTTATTCTGCCAATTTTTAATGTAGTGTGTGTTAATGCATTTTATTTACCTTCTGTGACGAACCTGCATTTATCCATGGCGGCCCGTAGAGCTAACACAAAACATCCGGTGGTTCAGTTTTTCTAATGCTATTTATTATTCGTTATATTTACATATTTACAACTGTCCTATTGTTAGGCGGACTACCTTCACAGAAATCATATTGCCTAATCAAACGACATTTCGTTTCTACTTACATGCATTGCGCTACTGCCAAGCAGCGCCCTCTACTTCTCTCTTTACAACACTCCTCACCTGTGAACTCTTTAAGTTCACACAAACCGAATAAACCATAATTTCTAAATCAAACACAACATTTGAATACTCTATAAACTACATCAAATTGCAAATAACAATTAAGTAATGTTTAAAAACATTAAATCAACTTATAAAGTAATTACTAAATAAAAAACATTATACTAAATCAAAATTGCCAATAATTATATAAACTAAACTACATTTAGCAACAATCAATAAAGATATTCAGAAGATGACAAATGTGCAAACAATAAATCAGATTATTACACTGTAACTCTTTACTACTAATTATGCACTTCAAGGTTGTACAGCAATTGTACTGGTCTCTTCAGATTACCTGTTTGAGTTTTTCTTAGACAAGAGCGAACCTGACCATCTCTGCCAGGATAAGTTTCTATTATCTTACCTAGTGTCCACAAATTCCTAGGTAAACGGTCGTCATGTACAAGGACTACGTCATTAACATTAAACTGACCAGACACTTTAGTAGGTGGACATAAATTCACAGATCTTAAAGAAAGCAAGTAATCCTTCCTCCACCTATTCCAAAAGTGGTTTAACAAGGTTTGTTGATGTTTATACCTTTTGATCAAGGAATGTCTAGACCCAATCAAGTCTTCTCTGCACACTCTTGTAACTGGAAGAGAAAGTAAACGTTTACCAATTAAAAAATGAGCAGGAGTTAGCGGTGAGGGTTCTGAAGGGTCATTGTAGACATACGTTATGGGTCTTGAATTAATTATGGCTTCGATTTCTATGAAGACTGTTTCTAGCTCATTCAAACAGAGACTAGAACGTCCAACTATTTTCCTTAAACAAGTTTTTAATCGTTTTAAAATGCCTTTCCCAGAACCCTCCCCACCATGCTCCTTTTTCCACAATAAACTTCCATGTTATACCGTGGGAAGAAAACAAATTTTGTACAGATGGATGTTGAATACACTTCCAAATTTTTCGCAACTCGACATCAGCACATTTGAATGTCTTGGCATTGTCCGAATATATCGTTGAGCACAATCCACGACGAGAAATAAACCTGCGAAACGCAAGCATGAAATTCTCCATGCTCATAGAAGGGACAAGTTCTAGATGTAAAGCTCGAGTTGTAGCACATGTAAACAAAAGCAGATAATGTTTATTCTTTGCTGTCCTTTGTAAAGAAAGGGACCAGCATAATCCAGCCCTGTTACAGAAAATGGAGATGATTGAAGAACACGATCAGGTGGTAAAGGAGCGGTTTCCTGTGTACCGGCACGCACCTTGTATCGTTTACACAAAAAGCACTTACTTAACGTGGACTTGACGAATTGGCGTCCTTTTATGATCCAAAACTTTTCTCTAATATCGGCTAAGGTAGCTTCGACTCCAGCATGAAACAATTTGTATGAGACTCAAAAATTACTAGTTCACTGTATCTATCTTTATAAGGTAACAGCCATAGGTATTTTTCTTCGAAAGCAAAGTCTGAGAATTGAAGTCTGCCCTTTAAACGCAGAAGACCATGGGTATCCAATTCTGGGTTAAGTGAATAAATCGACGATGTCTTTTCTAAGCATTTTCCACTTGATAGATCTAGAATCTCTTTCGCAAAGTATTTTCGCTGTGTAACTTTTACCCAATAGAGCTCAGCTCGCGAAATCTCAACAGAGCTTAATGGACCTTTGACTTTCACTGAATTTCGTTTTATATTGTTGGCAAACCGCATAACATAAGCCGTAATTCGATACACCTTCAGCAGCCTGCTGAATCGCGTTAACTGTAGTAATGCCGAAGATTCTACGTCTTGAACAGAAACATGAAGAGATGTTTGCACCCTTGCTTCGTTCTGAACGCTCTCCTCGTCGATGTTGGTCTGTTGATTTACTGGCCAAACACTTTCAGGTTGAGAGACAGCCAGCTAGGTCCCTGTAACCAAAGGGAACTTCTCACAAGATTAAAGGCATTTTCTCCTCGAGATAAAAGGTCAGCAGGGTTTTCACTCCCACTGCAGTGAAACCAGCATTCAGGATCCGTGAGTGACTGAATATCAGAAACTCTGTTTGATACAAAGGGTTTCCAGTTTCTTTTCTTGCACATCCCTTTATCCAGTAGATAGTTATTTGGCTATCACTCCAAAGAAACTTTTGATGACACAGTTCAGGAAACAGCTTTGTCAAATACATAGACAATTTGGCGGCTACTAAAGCAGCCATCAACTCCAAACGAGGTAAAGTCATAGTCTTGAGTGGAGCTACGCGACCCTTTGCGGTAATGAAACTGGTGCAAATAATGTTTTCTGAATCAAGGTATCTAAAGTATGCTACTACTGCGCCGTACGCTTTAGGGCTAGCGTCAGCAAATACATGAAGGACTAACATTAGATTTTTCACTACTACCAAAATATTTTCTCGGAAGAGAAAAAATCCTCCAACACCTTTAATTCAGCTTGCCAGCGACTCCAGTCCTTAATTATTTCTAATGGAAGGGTATCATCCCAGTCCACACCTAATGTCCAAATTTTTTGTAACAGAATTTTCATTTTCATCACAAAGGGTTTGAAACACACCAATTGGATTCTAAACTTTGGCCACTCTTTGGAGAATAGTCCTTTTTGTGGCCTCAGCACTGTCATGGGATAAATTTCCTAAAAATTCGCAATTCAACTTGATCTTATCTGCTTCAGAGTTCCAGATCATGCCCAAAAATTTTGACTCTTTAGCTGGTTCTATGTTATAACCTTTTCCAATCCACCAGGAATTAAGTTCCTCGGAATTTGACCTTAATTTTCTCAAATTCATCTCAGCGTCTTTAAAAATCTTAACCGCGTCTGAGGATAATCGACATGCATCTTCAATAGTGTCTGCACCGTAGTATAAATCGTCTACATATAACGAGGAATCTAACATTTCATAACTTTCTGGATTTGTGCTTTTATATTTTTTAATGTGGAATTTTATCGTCATCGCTAAAATTGCTGGACTACAGCAAAGTCCGAATGGAAGACGTTTAAACCTTAAAACTTTATATATTTTTCCTCACTATTCCCGAACCAAAGAAATTTTAAATATTCCCTATCCTTTTCTAAGATTCCTATCATTAAAAAGGCCTTAGCTAAATCTCCGCAGAAAGCAATTTCATATTTCCGAAATTTTAAATGTATGTCCAAAACCACGGGGATCAAACTAGGTCCAATGTCTAAAAAATCATTTAAGGAAGAGCTCGCGTCGTAAACAATCCTACAACTTGTGGTTTCCTTAGGTTTTATTATTTCCCTGTGCGGCATAAAATACGATGCCTCCGTTATTTCCTGTGAACACTTCTCAACTATACCCTCCTTCATTTGCTCTTCAATTACGGATTTATACTGCTGATAAATCTCAGGATTTCTAATAAGTCTATTTTTAAGACTTTCAAATCGTCTTAATGCTACTCCGAAATTATTTTCTAATTGCCCTGCTTCCGATTTCCATAATAAACTGACATAGTATCTATTACCTTCTACCTACCCGTATTTCCTTTTCAAAGCTGTGAATCATTTCTCTCACCTCGTTAGAAATCCCTGAGTCATCGGTAAGGCCCATCAAATCTAAAGTCCATAACGATCGCAATGAACCAGTTACGCAAGAAGAAAGGTTTACTAGTGCCGTGTTCGCTCTCTTTATCTTGAAGGCCAACTGGGACCCATCCAAACATAGTAGAAATCGCATAAATTTCCTTTCCTAATTGAATCTTCCCCCCCCCTTACCATCTTCCAGTAATAATCCACACCTATTAGAATTCCAACGCTTCCTTTACATAAACAAGCGATTCGCAATCCGCACTCATACATCATTTTTAGTGTTTGTTTTGACGGTGTGGTCATATGCGCAGCCGTTATGGCGTCAGTGACGAGACAGCTGATATTTACTTCGCATCCGAAACACAGAATTCGACAACCTTATATGTTTTAGGTACTGCGTATTTCATTCCGAAAGAATAAAGAGACAATGTTTCTTCTCCAACAAATTTTAAGTTTAATTTCTTAACTACACTAATATGAACAAAACTTCGTGTAGCACCACAATCGAAAATTAAATTAGTTAACTCTGACTTTCCGTCATAATGAGCTAACACTGAACAGGTTTGCAATAAAACATTTTTCTTCAATGATTTATCACAAGGAACAACAGAAAGCGTGTGTTCTTTCGGGGAGATTTGTGTTTCATCTACTGAATTATCTCGCGAGCTTTCGCACAATTCCTTTATGTTTTGATTTAAAGACGTTCGCGCTTTGTTACGATTTGAACTACTCGTACAAAGTGACTCGCATTTTAAGCAGTTAGTTTTATTCCTACACGATTTCCAAATGTGATATTTTCGAAAACAAATAAAGCATCTATTTTCAGTACGTAACTTACACAATTTTTCTTTAATGCTTTTATCACAAGAAAATGAGTTATGGGACTTTTCGCAGAAGATGCATGCACGATTATCAACAGCATTGAAACTGGCAGCCGTAGGTACATTTCTGTGAATTTTTTTATAATCAGACTTAGCATGTTCGAAACGTGGAGGCAAGGTAATTCTTTTATCTCGCGTCAATAAACTCGACGCTTCACGACATTCAATTTCCCGCTTTATGAAGTCCAACAAGTCTGAAACATTAATTTCTTCATTTGGGTTTTTCCTTCGATTAAATTCCAGAACGAACTCTTCTGGAATAGCTTTTAACAACACAGGTATTAATAACTGACCAAATGAACCTTTCGTAACTCCTTGCGCTTCCAAATTCCGAACTGCAATTTCGATTTCATCATATAACCTACGTAAAGCTTTAATATTATTTTGAATTCCTTACTGGTTCTAAATTTAACAGTTTGTTCATGAATTGACTAATTATTATTTCTTTTTTCCCGAATCTATCTTTCAAAGATTTTATACTCTCATCGTAATTTTTTGCATTTAATTCTAATGAAGATACTACATTACTCGCGGCACCTGTAAGTAATGTTTTCAAGTATGCGAATTTTTCTATCTTACTAAGACTTTCGTTTTTTGTCTATAGTGCTTTCGTAACTGTTCCAAAACTCCGTAAATTTTTCAGGATCACCTGAATATTTCTCTAAAACTAGTTTTGGAACGTTTTACTTTACCGTACTTTGTACATTTTGCAGTCTAACAAGTTTTGTTCAGGATCTTTAATACTTATTTTATCCTCTTCCAACATTCGATTAATTCGTTTAATAGCTCGAGAACATTTTTCCTGATATTCCTCAGAACTAACTACATCCGCTTCTAGAGAATCTATCTCAATTACGGAATGAATTGCCTCGTCTAATTCTTTCAAATTACTTTTCTTTTCTATTAATAATTCAAGCACTTCGCATAATTCATCTGTATCTTTCTTTGCTAAGCTATCCTCGACTTTCTTTAGTAGTTTAGATACTACCGTTCTCAATGCGGTTTTCTTTCGTTTTGATCTATCTAGTTCTGCCATTATTTCGCGTTAATACATAAATGTACCCAAGACTGCAAATTATCAAAATTCAAATCAAACACGTTCAAAATTTAATAATAATCATGCTCTTACCTAGGGCATGGTCTGGACACATACTTCCTCGTGAAGTTCACTTTAACAAATCCAAACTTTCCGTAAGATGCACCATTGTGACGAACCTGCATTTATCCATGGCGGCCCGTAGAGCTAACACAAAACATCCGGTGGTTCAGTTTTTCTAATGCTATTTATTATTCGTTATATTTACATATTTACAACTGTCCTATTGTTAGGCGGACTACCTTCACAGAAATCATACTGCCTAATCAAACGACATTTCGTTTCTACTTACATGCATTGCGCTACTGCCAAGCAGCGCCCTCTACTTCTCTCTTTACAACACCTTCTTTTATGCATCATGTCATTCACTGTACATTACCTGTGAGTTTATTGCTAATGCAATTTTGTATTGCCAGTTATGAGTATCCTTCCGTCCTAGGTAATCGGCTTATGCTGCATATACACATTTCTAAAGTTACATATCCTGTATTTATTAAAGTGCAATAAAATCTCAGCACTTAAGACAACATATTTCTATTTCATTTATCACTTTGTCTCTTTATAAATATATTGTATTTTCACTGTCAGTTACCTGGCAAATTTGTAATGTAATCCCTGCTTCGCCTTAGTGACTGATTTCTTCTGTTTTATAACTGTATTTTCTTCTGTTACACTTTTCTGCTTTTAATTATTAGCAGTAATGTCAAGACCACATCACTGTGTATTTAGTTCACCTTATTAGACTAGTTCATTTCATGAAACTGTTTTATTTAGTTCTTTAACTATTGGTTTTATTTATTTATTTATTTATTTTTAGTTGTTTATACTCATCCAACCTTTTCAACCATTAATTTTTAGTAATTTTGTTACAAACTCGAAAAATGACCTTGAGCTACAGACCCTGTGTCCGAGGAATTGTGCCAATTTGATTGCTGTCATCGTTTTACACAGTTCACCACCTGCTACCTGTCCGGAAATTCTAAATGTTCGAAAATCGCCTACTCCTGTTATTCCGGTATAGCGACACTACGTGGGTACCCGTTAACTGCGAAGGCATTTTGCTTGAATTGCAGAATTTTGTTATAGACAATTTGGGAATTTTCGGCCGATATTCTAATACCCTAGTGCAGAGGTGGAGAATGTACTTCTAGCTCTTGTATTTATTAATATTTAATTACACAGATTACTAGAATTTAAAAATTAATAGAATTAAATAACGTGAGCATTTCGCATCAGCAAAATCTTTGCACAAAAATAACCATTTTGCAAGCCACTTTGGGCAGAATTATTACGATTGTCATCCATATTCGCGTAAATGCAATGCGTCATCTTGGATTTCGGCAGATGTTAAATTTACAGTGCTGATTTTACTAAATGTACTAAATTTACAATGATACAGAGATATACGTACAGTGTTGATATACCGCACGTTGATATACTGCAAGGTTCGCTGGCTGTCAATAGGACAGGTTTTGGTAAAAGTTTTAACTTTACGACCACAAATTTTAAACTTTTATCAAGAACAGGGAAAAGTATTTGATCGAACAGATGAAACATTTTGCAGAAACACTGCATTTTTGTCTCATATTTTGACAAAACAAAAATTTAAATATTTGCCTGCAAAGCCCAACGAAGCATATTTATAAAACGTGGCAAAAGATCCTAGCGCTTCAAAAAAAAATAACTTTTTTTTTTTTTTTCCCTTTCTTGCCGGGTATATCTGCAGCACACTTCCCGGATCTAGCAAAAGTGCTGAATAAACAAAAATGTAAAAATGAAACATTCCATTAATATGTAGGTGTCTTGGAATTTTTAATAGAAGAATGTACTGGAAGATTTTCAGATTTTGACGAGTACACGTCCGCTATGAAACTGGCATTTGAACCACATTTAGCAGATATATCCAAAGCTTCTGCGGAGCTACAAATGAAGTTATTTGAGTTGCGGGTAGATAGTATCATCTAATCTCTTTTTGACACTAAAAAGGATCCCACAGAAATCTGGAAAACTGCTGTTGAGTATTTGAATATTCACGTCTAAGAGAGCAATCACGTCATTTACTTCCCTGCTTTGGAAGTGCTTACTGATGCGAGTCAACATTTTCTCTCTTGACAAAAATTAAAACTAGTTTAAAAATACAAATTACAGATCCTCATTTAGAAGATCTACTAAGGCCGCGCGTTAAGAAACTTTTTCCAAATAATCAATTACTTTCAGGCAAGAAACAAATGCTAAATTACTACTAAATCCTACTAAATTAAACAAATCCTACTAAATTAAATAATGTGATATCTTTGTTGAAAAATACTTCTAATTTATTATTTTTATTCGAAACAGTATTTAAATACATGTACTTGTTTATTAAATACTTATTTAAGATTAATGCTATAATAAGTTATTAGCCTTACGTGGATAAAAAATATTTTATATTGTACATTTTTATTTTAATTAATTATTTTATGTTTTTTGAAATATTTCAATATAATGTATTAATGTGATAAAACTATACTCCTTTATCACTGCCTAATTTAAATATAGCTTCTCATGGCAAAATGGTTCCCAACATTTGCCCTAGTGGATTGGTCGCTCCATCACTGTTGACGAAATAAACACGAAAGGGAGTATCAACAAAGAAGGTTATACACCCAGAATATTTAGTATATAGTATCTACATCTAACCTATAAATTCTAAGATGTTTGTATTATGGAATCATTAATTGCAGATAACATTTTCACAAGTATTTAATCGCTTATCTAATATAACTGAAAAATTTACTTTAGCATTACGTCATTACATTTGCTTAGAATGTAAAGCCAAAAACAACTACAATTTTGTGCTTTATTCAAAATTTAATATAATTACTGTACTTATCTGAATAAAATTTTTTCCCTCTAAATTGCATCTCCGAAGTCCTATCTAACTTGAAAGTTAAGCCTATCATTAAAAGCCAAATATTGATTTTAATATAAGTAATAACTTGATTTGAAATATTAAATGTAAATCCATAAAATATACTGAGTAAAAAGGAAATGGCTGCAGCAGAATATCTTGACTAACATAATCCACTTCAGTAAACTAAATATGAAATTTTACAGTTATAAGAAGCTATATTTAGTTATATATAGGCTAGCTATATATGGCTATATACAGGCTGAAAGCTATATATACAGGCTGAAAGCTATATATAGGCTTCTGGGTGACCGGAAAAATGCCCACAGGAAAAGTGCTCACAGAATAATGCTCACAGGAAAAAAGCCCACATAGAAAAAAAGCTCACATGGAAAAATGCTCATTTAGAAACATGCTCACACGAAGAAAAGCTCACATAGATATATGCTCACATGGAAATAAGCCCACTGGTAAATAAAACACATAGAAATATCCTTACATTAATTAATCAATAATTAATCGATTTGAACATCGTACACCTACTGGTATTTACAGTATAATATATATATATATATATCAAAAACTGTGTAACTTTTGTGTAGATTTAGCTGCTATATAAGATTAACAAACGGGCCGTTTTGAATAACAAAAAACAGAGGAGGAAGGAAGAAAAAATGAAACAGAATATACAGCGAAAAATTATTACAATTTCAATTGTTAAAAAAATAAAATAATAGTAACTATAAGTTACACATTTTATAATATAAACATTTAGAAGAATAAGAAAACATAAATAATTATTTTATTTAAATTTCGTAAAATACCTTGTATATTTCACATAAACTTATAAGGTATGTCTCCCATCTTCTTAGCCTGCCTTCGTGGTGTGGTGGTCTGCACGCTGGGCGCGTATTCCAGATGTCCGTGGCTCAATTTCCGACGAAGGCTTTGCTCATTTTTCACATCTCCTGCTTCCAAAATACCTAATGTCTCTACAGTGGCGCCCGAACTAAAAGGATGGTGGATGATGATTCTTCACACCCAGAATTTGGCGACTGGGTCCCCTAAAAACCTCAGTCGCCCTTTGAAAGGGAGAGTATATAAGGTATTTCTTCCGCCTTCCTAGCATGCGTTCGAGGTGTGGTGGTCTGCACGCTGAGCGCCTATTCCAGAGGTCCGTGGTTCGATTCCCGACGAAGGCTTTACTCATTTCTCCTGCTTTCAAAATACCTAATGTCTCTACGAACTTACTGAGTATTAGCTAATATCCGTTAATATCCAATTTTATCATCGATTTCATCATAGTTTATGTGATTCGCGATTACCAAATGTAAGTTTTCATATTTTCCTTTTTTTTTTTTTTTTTTTCCTTTTTTTTTTTTTTTTAATAAACGTTGACAGGCTATATCTTTTTTCAGTCCATCAAACAAAAACCACATACTAAAATAGCTATAATTAAATAATGAGTTTAGTACCTTATGAAAGCTTTCGTAACAATTTGTTGTTTTAGGAGATTTTTCGAAGGCTGCTTCATAATGATTCCACACTTCGATTGGAAACTGTGGTCTTCTAGAACTCTTTGGCTCCAAACTTAAATAACTACATTCAAACATAAATTTCTATAGATACATATCAAAAGTATTAAAAAATAGAGTAAAAAAAAACAAAAATAAACTATTGGCAGTTACAGGAAAATAAAATGTCGTACAGGGGGCAGTGGTATAAAATATTACAGTACATGCAAAATTTTACTATAGTTTTTCATTCTTTTATATACCGCCCCTGAAAAGTTTAATATGAGCATTTGTCCAATATTTTTTTCAAATAAACAAATTATTTTTCTTTAAAAATTTCACGTAGGTGTGCGATGTTCAAATCGATTAATTTATTGGTTGATTAGTGTAAGGATATTCCTACGCATTTTATTTATCAGTGGGCTTATTTCCATGTAAGCATATATCTGTGTGAGCTTTTTTTCCGTGTTAGTATATTTCTAAGTGAGCATTTTTCCATGTGAATATTTTTTTATGTGGGCGTATTTCTGTGTGGGCTTTTTTCCTGTAAGCATTTATACCTGTGAGCATTATTCCTGTGGGCTTTTTTCCTAGAACCAGGCTTCTGAAAGATAAAGCTGAGTTTTGTTAGATTTATTTTATACTTCTTAAACTAAGATAAATTCTTTTAGAAATTTTAAAACTGAATTTCAAATTTTTTAAAGTGATGTTATACCAAAATATTACTTAAATGTGAAAATAATTAATAGCTAAATAAAACCATATATTC